GCCAGGCTGGAGTGCAGTAGTATGATCTTGGCTCACTGCAACTTCTGCCTCCTGAGTTCAAGCGATTCTCCTGCCTCAGCTTCCCATGTAGCTGGGACTACAGACATGCACCACCACGCCCAGCTAATTTTTGTATTTTTTAGTAGAGACAGGGTTTCCCCGTGTTGGCCAGGATGGTCTCGATTTCTTGACCTCATGATCCACCCTCCTCGGCCTCCCAAAGTGCTGGGATTACAGGCGTGAGCCATCACGCTCAGTCAGGGACTATCTTTAATTATAACAGTCTCCATGCTTTGCATAGGGACTTACACAGAATACTCAGTAAATATTAGTTTATTTTATACGTATATTTACACAGACACACACACACATACACATGTATATCTGACATAGTAGAAGTGACACCAATGAAAAATAAAACCGAATCTTGACCTGTGTGTTTTTGGTCCAGTCATCTCAAGGAAGGAACATGAGATGTCTGACTGGCAGTCCCTCATAAAGGCCAGCTTTGTGAGAATCAAAAAGTGTAAGAAAATTGTCAAGAGTCAAAAAACCAGAAAAGAAAAGAAAAAAGAGAGAAGGATGAGTGTAACGCAGATTAGAGGGGCGGGAGTAAACAGCAGATACTTTGGAGAAGCTAGTAGGAGACAGAAAATAAAGCAGTTTTGCATTGTGGTGTGGTGGTGGAAAAGTCTCTTAGTCCTCAGTAGCCCTTGAAAGTGTTTGAGCTTCTGTGTTAAAAGCTGCTTGTCTCTGGTTCCTGTACTTTTTGAAGGCAGATTATAAAATGATACTAGATGGTGAACTGTTTTTATAAGCAAGCTGTATGTACACTAATGGTAACTATATTTTAAAATCTTATGTGTTCATTCAGTAAACAGATATGAAAAAGTGATAGGAAGTATTCCCTGGCTCTAAGGGAGGGTACAACAATAGAACTACAAAATGATTGGTGAATCTTTGTGACATCTGTATATAGCTGAAGTCTTGACATTATTAAATGTGTACTGCTGTGCTGCATCTTTTTTTTTTTTTTTTTAAAGGAATTTGACTTTTGACTTTTTTTTTTTTTTTTTTTGAGATGGAGTTTCACTCTTCTTAGCCAGGCTGAAGTACAATGGTGAGATCTCGGCTCACCGCAACCTCCGCCTCCTGGGTTCAGGCAATTCTCCTGCCTCAGCCTCCTGAGTAGCTGAGATTACAGGCATGCGCCACCATGCCCAGCTAATGTTTTGTATTTTTAGTAGAGACGGGGTTTCACCATGTTGACCAGGATGGTCTCGATCTCTTGACCTCGTGATCCACCCGACTTGGCCTCCCAAAGTGCTGGGATTACAGGCTTGAGCCACGGCGCCCAGCCGTTTTTTTTTTTTTTTTGATACGGAGTTTCGCTCTTGTTACCCAGGCTGGAGTGCAATGGCGCGATCTCGGCTCACTGCAACCTCCGCCTCCTGGGTTCAGGCAATTCTCCTGTCTCAGCCTCCTGAGTAGCTGGGATTACAGGCACGCACCACCATGCCCAGATAATTTTTTGTATTTTTAGTAGAGACGGGATTTCACCTTGTTGACCAGGATGGTCTCGATCTCTTGACCTTGTGATCCACCCGCCTCGGCCTCCCAAAGTGCTGGGATTACAGGCTTGAGCCACCGCACCCGGCGACTTTTGACATTTAAAGATCTATTGGGTTTTTGACTCTCAGTGACAGCACAGGTACCCTTACTTAATAGTTCCTCTTTAGCCACAATAGTACCTTTACCCAAAGGAGATATTATACTCTAGAATATTATACTCTAGAAATGTGATTCAGTTTCACAGTATGATTCAGGAAGTAATTAACCATTGCCATGGCCTTTTCTCCCTCATGATATTTGATTTAAAATGGGAATCTTTAAAAATAGATCTATTTTAGGGAAGTTATGAGCATCCTTTCAATAAAATATAAAGTGATATTATAATGACTTTCTCATGGGAGATCGTATTCGAATATTGTAGTAGTATATAAAGCTTTTACTATAGTTAAAAATTTGAGAGATAATTTATATACCATAAAATTGCCCCTTTTAAAGTGTATAATTCATTAGTATTTATTATATTCACAAGGTTGTGCAACCATTACCGCTGACCAATCCCAGAATATTTTTCATCACCCCATAAAGAAATCCTATACTTACTCGTAGTCAGTTCCCATTCCTTTTCCCAGGTCCTGGAAATTACTAATCTACTTTCCATTTCTGGATTTGCCTATTCTGGAAATTTTATGTAAATGGAATCATACAATATGTGGCCTTTTGTGTGTGATTGCTAAGCCTTTTTAATGATGGTTTTAGCATTTTGAAAGTATGTTCACTTTTTAAAATAAATGCATAACACCTCTATGAGGTAGACAGGAACTTTGTGACATAGTTAGATTGTCAGATTTATTTATATTTATTTATGTGACCTCAATTTACCCCAGGTTGAGGAAAAGAGATTCAAAGATGGCAGGGTGGAGTTAAAGGAAAAATAGTACATGATGATACATGAAAAAATCATTTAGTCCTGTGGTGTTTCTAGAATCTATAAATACTAAACTTTATTAAATTGTAACTGCAATTAAATACTCTAGCTATATTTAAGAACTTAAAATTTGAAGATGACTTGTTGAGCCTTAGAAGTTATAGGCTGAATTCCATTTCAGTGAGGTTGAAAGTATGTCAGAATTGTGCTCTTCATTATTCTAAAATTTTTAAATGAAAGTCTGTTGCTATAGTGTGCGGAAGGGGTATGATATAAATTTGTTTTAATGAAGCAATTAATAGATGTCTTTTGCTTTTTCGGCAATTAACTTTAGTAGGGGAATTTAATATAATGAAAATGTAAAGCATTAATTCTTGAAGATTGTAAGTATATTTGCAATTAATGGCCAGTATTAGTATACCATTTTTCTATAAATTTCATACTTTAGGTTTTCTCTTTTTAAATATTAGAGTGTGCTTTGGGGATGCAAATTTGTGTCATTTTCACAATTGAGTTTGTAGTTGTTATCCTAAAATCAGTAGGATAACAAATCACACAATAGACTGTCTTGGTGCCTACTATGGCTTCTGCCATTTCTTGACACAAATAAAGTTTTGGCTAAATTATTATTTAATTCCTGTAAGGCCTTTTGCCCTGATGAGCTGTGCTCATCTATGAGTTGTCAGGAAGGATTTCTTTTGCCTGGAAGCAGGCATAAACGATCATCTCATGTTTCTGTTTCTTAGGTTTCTTACACCATTTGACTTTTCTTTCTTGGGGTTCTTCTCTCAATGGTAAGAGCCCACTGGTCCTTTCTATAATATTCCCAAAGGAAGTAAGTTCTAAAAGGGGAAAATTATTGGCAAATGAAAAGAAAATAAGTATCTTGAGTTTAATAAAACTCTTGCCCCTGTTCAGCACTTGTAATAGAATCTTTGTCCTTTTAGACCAGGTGTCCACAAACTTTTTACACAGGGGGCCAGTTCACTGTCCCTCAGACCGTTGGGAGGGCCGCCACATATTGTGCTCCTCTCACTGACCACCAATGAAAGAGGTGCCCCTTCCTGAAGTGCGGCAGGGGGCCGGATAAATGGCCTCAGGGGGCCGCATGCGGCCCGCGGGCCTAGTTTGGGGACTCCTGTTTTAGACACTCTATCCTCAGGTTAAGTGGCTTAACTATGTCCTTAGAATTGCTTCTCCATTTTATCCTTTCTGTACATGGAATTTTCCTGCTAAATTGAGGTGGAGGAAGTGGGAACAGAGAAAGAGCCATGTATATATTGAGGGGAGGAGGAAATGCTTGGGTAACCAATGAGGAGAGTAGTACCTACTACCAGGAGTCTGGACAGGATTTTTCTGTTTATGTGTTGGTATTTTAATTTGTATGTCTGTATGCATGTTCATATGGATTGCCATGTATAAACCAGTGTTAGCTTTGAACAATGTGTACATTTTCTTTTTCAGCTGAATTTGTTGTATACATATCTGCTTAGGAGATTGGCATGGTTTATGACAAATATGTGAGCACGTATATAATTCATTGAATCTTAGAGAAGAGAGGAGTCTTAAAGGCTTTTTTCCTTCGTGGTTAGCTACCAAAAACAGAAACTGAACCAACCCGTGACATTTGGCTTTTACAGTTGCCACATTAAGGTAGTTATTAGGAGGGAATGTGCTACTGTTTCTAGGTATCCCATTCTATTTCCGAATAAACGAACTACTAGAAATTCTACCTTGAACCTCTGTCATTCTGTTAGCCCAGCCATTTCTCATAATTTTCTTCCTATAGTGCTAGTCCCTCTTTTATAACAACAGTCTTTAGTGATCTGAAGAGAGATCGATCAAGGGCCTCATTACATTTTATTTATGTTAAATACACCCAGTTTTTGTTGAATTGTTAGTCATATTACAGGATTTTGCTGATCTTCTAATGGACATGTTTTAATTCCTTGACTTGCAAATGTTTTTGACTAAAACCCCAAGAAAGAATACATTTTACATCCTGACTTAATACACGTGTGTACATATGTACATTTAGGATGTATTTTTTTTTGGATTGGGTTTCACCATGATGGCCAGGCTGGTCTTGAACTCCTGACTGCAGGTGATCCACCCACCTCGGCCTCCCAAAATGCTAGGATTACAGGCGTGAGCCACCGCACCCAGCCTGGATGTATTTTTAATATAACAAAAGTTTCATTAGACAGTATATCTTTAATTTGATATTTTTGATCCTTTTCATTTTTAAAACATGCGGTTGATTTTGTCACTTCCTGATGGGTCTCAGTTTGGAACATTGTTCTGATTTGTTCTTGCTGCAGAACTGAAACAGTTTGCAAAAGCTGGATATTAGGGTAATGTTGCTGAAACAGGTTTTACCTTAAATTCCTCAGAGAATATTCTGATGATGATAGTTACTAAGTAAATCTTAACAGAATTATTAAGCTATTGGTAGTAGATACAGTGAAACTAAAATATATGCAACTTTTATTTTTGTCTTTAGGTGGCGACAGACAAGGTTGCAGAAAAGCTGAGCTCTACTCTCTCATGGGTGAAGAACACAGTATCGCATACAGTCAGTCAGATGGCCAGTCAGGTGGCAAGTCCATCTGCTTCATTACATACCACATCCTCATCTACCACATTATCAACACCAGCCCTTTCACCATCTTCGCCATCACAGTTGAGTCCAGATGACTTAGAACTCCTGGCTAAACTGGAAGAACAGAATAGGTGAGTGACGTTGCTTGGCTTTTTTTCTCTGCAATTATCATACGTATTCAGCCATTCATATTTGCTTACATTAAGAATGTTTCTTTTCTATTTTTTGGCTCCTTATTTATCAAAGTTACTTAGAAAAGTATTCATCTTTTTTTATGGGGAGGTTGGTCTTAAAAGAGACTAAAATTTTTTTCTGGCTCAAATAGCTTTAGAGATTTGTTTTCTTAATATGGCAAATTCCCTGAATGCTTCTTGAATTTTATCAATTTTAAAAAAGTAAATGAAACTATCACTTTTTAATTTTAAACTCTCTGAACAGTCTCCTTTGGTAAAAGCATAAAATAATTTAATCCAATATAGGTACCTAATTTGTGGTTTAGAGTGGAAAATCTTTTAAGAAATTATTCGTAGACGGCCGGGCGTGGTGGCTCACACCTGTAATCCCAGCACTTTGGGAGGCCGAGGTAGGTGGATCATGAGGTCAAGAGATCGAGACCATCCTGGTCAACATGGTGAAACCCTGTCTCCAGTAAATACGAAAACTTAGCTGGGCATGGTAGCGCGTGCCTGTAGTCCCAGCTACTTGAGAGGCTGAGGCAGGAGAATTGCTTGAACCCAGGAGGTGGAGGTTGCGGTGAGCCGAGATTGCGCCATTGTACTCCAGCCTGGGTAACAAGAGCGAAACTCCGTCTCAAAAAAAAAAAAAAAAAGTTATTCATAGAAAGCAAAATATCCTTTTCTCTTAATAGATATTAAATAGAGTTTTTTTCTGTTCTGCTAGGAATGCATACTCTGGACCCTGTGTGCCTCCTTACTCTGCTATTGTCAGAAGATCTTTAGGGCATCATCTATTTATATTTATATATATATTATATTTATAAAAATATATAGGGCATCTATTTTATATGTATAATATATCTAACATATAAATTATATATAATATATATTATACATATAAATAAAATATATATTATATATTTTATATGTTAGATATATTATATATAATATATATAAAATAGATGCCCTATATAAATAAAATAAAAATGTTATTATATATTTTATATATTAGATATAAAATAAATTTATATTATATATACATAAATGTTTATATATGTTTATATACACACACACACACACACACATACGCATACACAAATGTTTATTAGGGTGGAAGAACACCATTTTGTGCTCAGTCAAGGGATGTAATGCTACTGGCTTAGAATCATAACAAAAATAACTTTTACTATGTTTTTTGATGTATCATTGGCATAATAAACTACACATACTTAAACTGTACAATTTGATAAATTCTGACATATGTATACATCTGTGAAATTGTCACCAAAATCAAGAAAACGAACATCTCCATTATCGCCCTTGCTGTCCCCAGGCAGCCACTATAGTTTGCATTTTCTAGAATTTTGTAGAAATGGTATCATATAATATGTAGTTTTTTGGTATGGATTATTTCACTCAGCATAGTAATTTTAAGAGTCATCATTGCTATAGCACATATCAATACTTTTTATAGTATTCCATCATGTGGAAATATCATAGTTTATTCACAACTTAAACACAAATGTTTATGGCTGTTAAATGCATTTAACAGCCATAAACATTTGTGTATAAGCTTTTGCATGAGTGTATGCTTTCATTTCTCTTGGACAAATAACCTTGGAATGGAATGACCCAATCATATGGTATGTGTAACTGCCAAACTGTTTTTCAAAGGGCCTTTACTTTTTCATAACCCACTACCGGTGTATGAAATTTCCAGTTCTTCTACATCCTTGTCAACACTTGATATAATCAGTCTTTTTAATTTTAGCCATTTTATTAGGTATTAGTATCTCTGGTTTTAATTTGATTTCCTCTATTCATTTTGAGCATCTTTTTATGTGTTTGTCATCTGTATATCTTCTTTGATTTTTTTGTTTGGTTGGTTATTTGCTTTCTTATTACTATGTTTTGAAAGTTCTTTGTATGTTTGAGGTAAAAGTCTTTATCAAGCACATGACTCTCAAATTCTTCCTCCAGCTGGCAGCTTACCATTCTGTTAAAAGTGTCTCTTTCAAGAAGCAGAAGTTTCATCTTACTTTATTGTATTTATTTTTGAGCATTCCAGGTTTACTCCTTTAAGTAAATCTAAAACCATTATACATGTCCATGACAATTAGAAAAGAGACAAAGGATAATAGAAATAATTTTTGTTCTGCCTATATAGTAGTATTTTTCTGGGTGTCAATAGAAAACATTAGTCAAGAGCATTAATCTGAATTTGTTGATAAAATGTATTTACTTTTGGCAAGTGTCTTGCTTTGGTATTTATACATAGACTGTAATGAAGTTGAGCTATCCCATCTTTCTTATTTGTAACATTCATACAAACAAAAAATATGAATCCTACTGGAAGTGGATCTTTATCAGAAATATGCCCCAGTGCAGGTAAGTGATACCATGAAAATCACTTTCCTGTCCTAGGCCTAACAGTCTTCATGCAAAAATTAGGAGATTGAATGAAGATGATCTCTAAGTTTCTACAACTCATGTATACACATCAATTTATACATTATGATGTAGGTAGACAGCAAGGCTATACTTTCCGTCCCTCAGGATGCTGAGCGTGGCCATATAACTTGCTTAAAGCAAATGTGGTACATGTGTCTTATAAGAGAAAACATAAGTTTCTTTCGTCTCTTTCTTTCTTTGCCAAAAGAATGACAGTGTCCCAAAATGGTACTTTCCTTCACCTTTGATCCGGGAGTGAAAATGATATGGAGCAGTGCTATAGCTAGTCAACAACAACTGACATTACTCACCAGGAAATGCACCTTTGTTGTTGTTAACTGCAGCGTAACCTAATGAAAGCTAATTAATTATAAGAATTTGTTAATAATTGAGGATCAGTACATAGTTAAACACAAACACTCAGATTTAACAGAAAGCTGATAATGTAGGCAGGGTGCTGTGGCTCATGCCTATAATCCCAGCGCTGGGAGGCTGAGGTGGGTGGATCACCTGAGCTCAGGAGTTCGAGACCACCCTGGGCAACACGGTGAAAGCCCATTTCTACTAAAATACAAAAAAAAAAAAAAAAAAAAAATTAGCTGAGTATTTTGGTGCGTGCCGATAGTCCCAGCTACTCGGGAGGCTGAGGCAGGAGGATCACTTAAACGTGGGAGGCAGAGGTTGCAGTAAACCAAGATTGTGCCTCCATAACTGCAGTTTGGGGTATAGAGTAAGACTCCATCTCACCAAACCCCCTACCCCCCCCAAAAAACAAAACTAATAATGTAAAAGATGACCTAAGTGGAAATTAGTTAAAAAGCAGCTTTTAAGAATTAAAAAAGAAATCGATTTAAACATGTATATAGAATTTTCCTTGTGATTTCTGGCCTGAATCCTTGAATGACTACTCCAAGTAAGATTCAACATTTTTACAAAATTGTTATTCAAAATTAAGATATTCTAAGATTATATTTCCACCATTTTACAAAGGTCAGTCCAGTTTAGCAATCTAGGTTTCCGAAGTAAGTTCCATGGATAAGGCTTCTCCTGAAGTAATGTGGCAGCTTAATTTCTTAGCTGTTAATTTGTTTTGTCATTTTTTTTTCCTTTTTTAAAATAAAATAGAGACAGGGTCTCACTATGTTGCCCAGGGTGGTCTCAAACTCCTGAGTTTAAGTGATCCTCCTGCTTTGGCCTCCCAGAGTGTCAGGATTACAGGCATGAGCCACTGTGCTTGGCCTGTTATTGTCATATTTAAGACTGGCTAGAGAAGAGGCAAAGTCTGTGACCTTTCTGATGCTCCTTCTATGGCAAAAGAACATTGGTTTGCCCTTCTCTTTGCTCCCCTTAGCTAAGAAAACTTGAAAGCAAAACTTTCTGTCTGTGGCAATGATTTATTCCTATCAGCATACATCCTTAATTTCATCAGTGCAATTCCTTTGCAGCTGTTTCACTATTTTTGGCACCTTTCCCTTGTTTATTTGCTGTCTCTCCTGATTTGGAATCAGTAATGTCTTTAACAAGTTTCTGAGTGGCAGCCATATGAGGCAGGAATTTCCAGTTTTTCACACTTGTGATCTGACTGACGACGGGGTCTCATGCAAAAATTATTCTCACAGTAAGGACATACAACTGCCACAAATTCTCTTTCAGCATGGTCCTTGAAAAAGCATGGGTAAAATTTATGTCTTCAATCTCTCATTGATTCCTGTCATCTCAGGACAGCCATGAGACTGCCACTTCTGTGTTCAAGGCAAAATATTCCTGAATATCACACAAATGAAAGAAAATCTTGCAGTGCTGCCCAGTGTTCAACTCTGCCATCTCTCTTGTGCCACCAAAGAACAGAAATTTTAAATTTTGATTAAGTCACAATTTCAAATTGTTTTTACAAATTGTGCTTTTTTGGTGATCCAAGATTATAGTTTCTTTCCTGTGTTTTTTTCCTGAAAGTTTTATAGTTTTAAGTTTTACATCTAGCTCTGTGATATACTTTGAGTTCATTTTCTGAATATGCACATCTAATTGTTCCTGTACCATTTATTGAAATGACTGTTCTTTCTCCACTTAATTGCTTTTGCATTTTTGTCAGATATCAGTTGTCCATATGTGTATGAGTCTATTTCTGGGCTTGCTCTATTCTGTTCTTTTGGTCTATTTGTCTATCTTAATGCTAGTAGAATACTGCCTTGATTATTGTAGCCTTATACTAAGTCTTGAAATCAGATAGTGTTAGGCCTCCAAGGTTGTTCTGCTTTTTGACCTATTTTTGGTCCTTGGCATTCTCAAATGAATTTTACAATCAAGTTGTTAAATTTCTACAAAAATGTCTGCTGAAATTTTGGTTGGGATTGCATTAAATCCCTAACAGTATTGCCTTCCTCTCCATGAACACAATGTATTTATCAGTAATTATTTGTCAGTGATACTGTTTTTGTAAACTTCACTTTTAATTGTTCATTGCTGGCATATGGAAATACAATTGTCAACACCTTCTGTGTTAA